TGAACACTATTTTTTAATCTTGGTAAGAATCATATTTGGAGGGTGCTTAGATGATGTGGCCCTCTCTTTGGTTGGAATTATGTGTAAGAATCTCCAAAGCACTAGTTTGTATAGGCTAGTGCTCCGTAGAACCACCTACACCACTTAACAATTACCGAGCATGGTTACGAACTTACGTGTGGTGAAAAATCAAAAATACCACCTTATTGTTAATTACTCATGTATACTATAAAGCCCTATAGAAAAATGACATCTTGGATGTAAGGCTAAATGGAGTGGTCACCACTAGCCCATCGGAAAAGTGGTGCCACCTGTGCACCACATCAGCTTTACTACCAACCCACTACACCTAAATGGTCACCACTAACAATATTCATTTTTTTATTTTTATTTTTATTTTTTGTAACATTTTTATAAAATAAAAAACATAATTTATAGCATACATAATTTTTTTTGTAACATTATATTAAATAAAAAACAAAATTTATAACATAATTAAATATTTTTATATTTTTTTATTTTTTGTAACATTGTAGTAAATAAAAACTATAATTTTTAACACAAATAAGTTTTTTGAAAACACAAAAAAAATAAAACCACATTTCATTAATTAAAAACATAGATTTAAAACCTAAATTACTAAAACAAACATAAAACATAACAAATCAAACATTACACTACATAATTAAAAAACAAAAAAAAACATAAAACATAAAAACCATAGATAAATACTACTCGTCGTCGTCATCGACCTCACCGCCCTCACCCGCCTCGTCGTCACCTTCTGCATTCGCCTCGTCATCATCGCCCTCATCATCGCCCTCATCCTCTTCGTCTTCATCGTCATTTCCCCCTTCTAGTTGTCTCCCCCATATGTGCTCGGTCAAATCGTGATGTAGATTGTGATGTGTTTCACGATTATGAATTTCCAAAACTCTAGAGAAGTATGTCGGGCTGCCAACTTGTATCACTGTAGGTGGATTAAGTATATCGTTCCTGGTATATGAACATATAGCCCTGCCCTCTTCTTCTATTATCATGTTATGTAAAATAACATAAGCAGTCAACACCATTGTTAGTTTTGTCATATCCCATGTTCGTGTCGGATGCTTGATTATGTGCCACCTTTGTTTTAGGACTCCAAACGCTCGTTCCACGTCCTTCCGTGCAGATTTCTGTGCTAACTTAAACAATTTTCTTTTTTCATCGGCTGGAAATGAATATGACTTGACAAATGTAGCATACTCTGGATATATCCCATCACCTAGGTAATACCCATACTTATATTCATTTCCATTCACAACGTATGACATGTCTGGGGCTTTACCCTGCAAAATATTGTTAAATAACGGAGACGCTTGAAGCACATTCAGGTCATTGTTGGAGCCCGCCATACCAAAGAATGCATGTCAAAACCATAGGTCATGTGAAACGACCGCCTCCAATAGAACAGTCGGGACCCCATGATCTCTTCGCGTGAATTGACCACACCACGCATCGGGACAATTTGTCCACTCCCAATGTGTACAATCAATACTACCAAGTATCCCTGGAAAACCATGTTTAGCTTGATGCGCGACATACAACTATTCGACATCACTTTTAGTCGGATGTCGCAAGTATATGTCACAGTAAAGCTCTATAACATACTCACATAAAAGATATGTACACTCTCGACCCGTCTTCTCAGATATTTTCAGATACTTATCTGATGCGTGTGCGGTTATACCATATCCCAACTGTCTAAGAGCGGCCGTACATTTTTGTATTGTAGTAAAACCGCGTTTACCTCTAGCATCCAATCGTAATTGGAAAAACTCATAATTACGTTCCAAATCTCTAGCTATACATAAAAATAAAGTTCTACTAATACGAAAACGATCTTCGAATTTCGCTAGGTCGTATAAACTATCAGGGGCCAAATAATCACGTACCAAAAGTTCATGTGTCGCCTCTCCATCCCGGTTGATCCATTTTCTATGCTTCTTCTCACGGTGTCAGCTTTCGCCTCTCTCATTAATCAAGTCTTGTGCCGCAGACAATAGTGTGTGCAAAAGCAACTCGTCATCAGAACCGCTATCTATTTTTTGTTGAATGTGTGTGTTTGATTTGAGAGAGTATTTGTGTTTGTTTTGAAAAATTTTGTATAAAAATAGATGTATATATAGAGAGAAAGATATAATGGTAGGTATGATAATTAATTAATTATTATGTTTTTTTTATATCGTTTATGCAAGCAAACGGTTAAAAAAAGAAATAAACCAATCACAATCCGCGTCTTATTCCGTCTCCAGCTCCACGTCACAAGCAACCCACCGGAAGGTGGGGCGGTGTTCATGCGTGAAGGGAGCTAACACGTCAGCTCCCTCGCGTCTCTTTGCCCTCCACTCCGGGTAGCCTAACAATGTAACCATATCTCCCTATTCTAATAAAAGAATAATTTTATTCTACTTTTGACATGTGTCACCATATTAGGCTTTCATAATTAATGCATATTTTATTTTTCTTTTGACATGTGTCACCCTATTATGTCTCCTAATTAATGCATGCTACTTGTCAACCTATTGATTATCCATTTCAAATTTTAATATTGCTCACTATAATTATATTAAATTAATAACATTAGAATAAAAATTAAAATAAAATTAATACAAATTATAAAGTGATATAATTTTAGATATTTAAATTAATGATTATAATTTTATTTAATTAAAAATATCTCTTAATTAATAATTTATTTAAAATAAGTAATAAATAATTTTGAATTTTTTAACTATTAAAGTTTAATTAATTTTGTAACTGTGAGTTCCACAGGTTATAAACTAGTATAACCTAGTCAGTAAGTCAATCAATTGGAAAGATTACGGTATATTTTAGGTTGACACGTGTCACGATTTGAAAAAACTAAGACGAACGAACGGTCCAAGTTGTGTACCAAAACGAACTTTTCACTAACTTTTTATTGTGGACCCATAATTGGCTGTTTGACTTTAATGCTGGGATGAAGCAGTACAATGTAGACAGTTTCTCCAGGTGTCAGTACTTGAATGGTTGTCAAGTGCTAAATTGAATAAGATGCCTTATGTGGGCTTCTTGGATTATGATATTTTTAAAGCCCAATTCAGTGAACTAAAATAAACTATATAAAAGGAGAGGTGCATACATTATTTCTAATTTATATCCTAGTCATTTTCATGGTTTTGAATTTGATTCTGAGTTTTGATCTTGTTTGTGAATAACATAGCATATTATATGGTTTTGTAACCTTATGGTATGGAAATATTCGCTTGGAGTCATTTAATTGATCTATGGTTGTGATATTAGTGTCAGTATCGTAAAAATAGTATTTTTTAAGTAATTTCAAATGATTTTGTATTTTTTAAAAATAATATTTTTTAAGTAATTTCAAATGATTTTGTATTTCGTTTTACTTATACACTAACACTTTCAGTCATGTTCGTTTCACTTTATACACTTTCCACTGTTCTATATTGTAGCACAAGTCACTCGGAGTTCAAATTACATTTACAACACAAACACTATATTCATATCATAACTTATATCATAACTTGTACAATGGAAAATTTCCATGATTCTTATTGTTGGATTTTTATTGCACGCATTACAAAAGAATTCTTTCACTCTCTATTTAGGGGGTGTTTGGATTAACTTATTAGCTTATTTGTGGTGGGAATAAGCAATAAGCAATAAGCAATAAGCAAGAGGGAAGATGCTTATTAAAATTAGCTTATTTAGCTTATTCCTAATACAATAAGCTGATTTTTAAGGATTTTATCCAAACACTTAAACTTAGCTTATTTTGATAGGAATAAACAATAAACAATAAGCATTTTTTTTTCCTATCCAAACACCCCCTTAATTCCTTTGTTCACCTAAATAAACACAACATGGTGTTTATGACTTCATGTTGTTAATATGAACTCTAGTATTAGAGAGCTCGAATATAGTTGTAACCAAAGATAACGTCAATATGCACCACATTCATCCCAAAATAATGAATAACAGTAAAGGAGTATCAAACCTAAAATTAATAAAGTTGCTATACAATTATAATATTAAAAAAAAAAAAGAAAGAAACTAACTGAAGTTGTAAGTACAGTAAAATATCAAACCTAAAGTTAATAAAGTTGATGATGATACTAAGATTCCGTTTCTTTTAGGAGAAAAAAGAAAATTTTAGAAATGATGATATATGACATGTGTATTGTATAGTTTCTTATAGAGTACAGGAAATTAATTAAATAACAGTTGGATTACTCTTTTCAAAGTACAACAACCGTGATTCATCATAAAGTTAATTAGCTTATCTTCATAACCCAAAATTGATATATGGAGTCATTCTTTCATTTCTTATTATTAAAAAGGAAAAAATCACAATATCAACTTATTTGATTTTTCTAGCATATTAAGTTTAAATCTATTGTCACATACTCCCTAGCATCCACGCAGTGGCATTTTCCGGAGTTCGAGTTAGACTTTATTGGCTTTGATCAATATACAGGTTAAGTTTATTTTCAAAATATAGATCTCGTAAATATCATGATTAAACTCATTATATTTTTTTATTATAATATAATTTCTTTTATTAAGTTTAAGATAATATTGATATTGTAGTATACTAGTATAGGTCGACAATGCCACTACTAATAGGAACGTGTAAACATCTTCATATAGGAAGAAACTAATCAAGTAATTTATTTATTTTTTTATAAAAAAACAATTAAGAATATAAATTATATTCTAAAAGACTTAAAGTGAAACCCCCACTTTGTTGAGTAAAAAGAATATATTTTTAAGAATAAAAATGTCGATCAAAAAACTTAACCAAAAAGAAAGTAGGCATACCCCACTTTGCTCCAAAGAAAATCTCACAAGCCACAAGAACTTGTGGCTCAAAAATTTCCACCATTGCCGACGTGTCATACCCTCGCCTCACCTTTTTAACCCTCACTACTACTGCCGCAAAATTCAAACAAAAAGTTTTTACGTTACAAACTTCGATAGACAATTCGTAATGTCGGAACTTAAAGATTCAGCGATTAAGCTTTTCGGGAAGACGATTCAGTTGCTTCATGTTGATGATGACGATGTCGTTCTTGGTAAAGCTGATGATGAACAACAACAACAACAACAGTGTTCTTCTTCCGAAGACATCAAGGTATTATAGTATACGAGTTTTTCGAATGATTTGTTGTTTGATTTGGGTTTTCGTTTTTGTTTGTAAAGTTTCGTGGGTTTTCATGGTTGAGTTTTAGCGACTTGAAGGTTTTTGAGGAAATGCATGTGCAGATAATATGACTTTTGAGTTGAATGCGTTTTATGAAATTTCACGATCAACCCTTTTCTCAGGGTTTCAAAAGGAAAGTCGGGTCGATGTTACTTTTGGAAGTTATTAACTTTTTGCTTTCATTATAATGTAATTTACAAAATTTTCAATATCCAAAAATCATAGATTCATACATACAAAGGCTTTTATGGATTTTCTTATGTGGCGTCCTCTGTTTTTTTTTTTTTCTTTTGGAGAAAATAAGGTTTTATATTAGATCTATTTCATTCGTTCACTCATCGATCTCGATTATATATACAAAAAATACGATAGAAAATTACAATCTGTATGATCAAATCTGTTAATTTTCGTATCACATAAATAGAAAGCATCTTCTTTTTACATATAAATATATCAAGATCTTGAAACAAAATTATTCTTTTTCTTGACGATTTAAATTATAATTTTCAGCAAAACACTACAACAACTCAAACAGAAGACACATGTTCCAATCCAAGTACATCATCTGAAGGAATCAACGATGATCCAAGAACACCAACCGCCGACAATGAACCTTCATCAAAAAACTCCACAAAAAAAGAAAACCAAAATTCAGAAGAAAAACCTCAAAAACCAGATAAGATTCTTCCATGTCCTCGATGTAATAGCATGGATACTAAATTCTGTTACTACAATAACTACAACGTTAACCAGCCACGTCACTTCTGCAAAAACTGTCAAAGATATTGGACAGCTGGCGGAACAATGAGAAACACACCCGTAGGTTCTGGAAGACGAAAGAACAAAAGTTCATCGTCTGCTTCATATTACCGCCACCTTATTGTCTCCGAAGCTGCTTTCCAACCTTCTTGGAAAACCAACGGCAGTGTTCTTAGTTTTGGATCTAATGTCCCCCTTTGTGAATCTATGAATTCAGCTTTAAACTTTTCTGATAAATCCCAGAAATCGGAAGATGACCTTTCTTCGAATTCTGTACAAAGGAATTTCCAAAAATACCCTTGCCAAATCCCATGCTTCCCTCATCCACCACCTCCTCCTCCTCCTTGGCCTTACCCATGTAATTTCCAAGAATTTCCAAGAATACCCTTGCCGAACCCTGCGCAATATCGACCTCCTACCACCAATCTTTCAGGGTTTCCTGTGTCTTTCTATCCAACACCGCAATACTGGGGTTGTACTGTACAACCACCCCCATGGAGTATACCATGGGTAACCCATCCAAATGACCAAATTACCCCTCATTCTCTTCTCGGAAAGCATTCTAGAGATGGGTATATGCTGTCTCAATCGATAACTTCTTCAAATTCAAGAAACGAAGAGTTTTCAAGAGAAAGAGATTCAGAAAGTGGCGTTTTCACCCCCAAGACTTTGCGAGTTAACGATCCAAATGAGGCTGCAAAGAGCTCTTTATGGTCAACTCTAGGGATCCTAAAGGGTGAAAATGGTAATAATATTGATAATAATAACAATGGCGGAAATCTTCATAAGGCCTTTCAATCGAAAAGTAACGAGAAGAATGAAGTTGTTACGAGTTCTTTGGTGAATTTGCAAGCAAACCCTGCAGCCTTTTCAAGATCACTTAATTTTCGGGAAACTTCATAGATTTTGGAGCGAAAAGATTTGAGTTTTGAAGGGAGGTTAGAGATTGTAGAGGGGTGGTTTTAGTTTGTCTTTTGTGATAAGAAAGGAGTTGTAAAGTATGCAGCTTTTGTTGTACATGACTATAAAGAAATAAGTGAATTTAGTAAAGGGGAATTAGATAGAGAAAGAGAGATTTCTTGAATGTCCCAAAGTGCATTGTGATGATGATGATGAATTAATGATGAATAAACTAAAATAGCATTCAAGAATTTGTCTTAATGCTTTAATTATCTGTCATTAACTTTTTTATAAAGTTTAAAACTTTAATTCAATTCAGTATATTTGTCTAAAAGGATTTAGATTGATGAATGTATAAAGTCTTAAGTTTAAATCTTAATTATATTTATAACATTTTTATGATAAGTTATTTGGAATATATCGAAAAAAGATCATAAAAGTTTACTCTTTGATTTGATTTTATTCTCGTTATAAGCCCCTTTCATTTCTATTGTCGCCATGTGTATGATATCAATCTACATCTACATTACATTTTTCCATTTGGAACAAATACTTTAATTTTAAAATCATATATATATATATATATAATATATATATATATATATATATATATATATATAAAACTTTGCTATTATGTTCGTTTTGTGGGTATCCCTTTTAAACACACAAGTGGAAAAAGATAGCGACGCAAATCATAAAATTATGAAGTTTCCCGACAAATGGCATTTAATTAGGTTTTCTTTTAATATTTTGAATTAATATGTATAATATTTAACTCTACACAAATTTACTAGTGTATTAAATAAACAAATATATATCCTTAACAATAATAAAAGTTTCAACATATAGGTTCACATGGTTTCTTTGTCTTTGATTTCAAAGAAAACGTTTTAACTTTACGATTACAAGATTCTAATATTATATGTGCCAAATATGCATGGAAATATCCTGTTGACAGGAAGGTTAGAATTGGAATATCATATTAAAGAAGGGGTAAATTTGGGAAACAAATTGGGGATTCGGGGGGGCCTTTTGGCAGAGGATAGGTTTGAATCCAATTCAAGAAAAGACCAAACAACCGCGTCTCTTTCAACCAAAAAGCTGGAAAAAGAAAGTGTGCATAAAGTTTTCATTTTCCCTCGCTTTACATTTTCTATTACTTTTCTATATATATATATATATATATATATATATATATTATATATATATATATATATATATATATATATATATATATATAGACAAAACTGCACAAATGGTCCTTGTGGTATGTCGAAAATTGTCACTTTAGTCCAAAAAGATTTGGACTAGCACAAGAGGTCCAAAGTTTTCATTTTATTTCAAGTTTTGTCCAATTTGTTTTGAATTTTTTTAAAATACCGATTTTGCCCTTTGTATTTTCTTTTTTTCAATTTTTTATTATAGAAAAAAAAATACCCATCTCTCTCTCTCTCTAACAAATTCAAAACACTTTATGAACAATACTTGCTACCACCATTATCCGCCATCACCACCACCTGTCCGCCACCAGATTCTGCCACCACCACTTGTCGGAATATCAGAATGCCACCAACACCACCGTTGGCCACCAGTCTCAAGAACTACCACAAACATTTGATGAATTCAAATATAATTTTTCTAGATCTAAAGAACAAAACATTCCATTTTTTTCTAATCTGCAAACTCAAACTCCAGAACAATCAATTTAATCTGATATCAAACTCAAGAACAACCGGACACAACAACAATCATATTTTTAACAACAAAACATTACTAGATTTGTAAACCTCAAGAACAACCCGATTTGTAAAAGCACAAAGAAAGGCCTGATTTGGAAAGACAAAGAAAGGCCGTCTGAGCTCTGATAACGAACAGATTTGTAGCTCCAAAAATGAACACCTTTTCTAAGCTCTTCAATGGTGATGAAAACCTTTCGATGGAGCCACCAGTGTTCAGATCTTGAAAGAATAAGTTGGGATTTTTCAAACTTCTTCACAACAAACCTTATCTACACCATGGCATGATAAACAGATTTGGATTCCACCTAGCTGAAACCTCGACAAAGACGGTAGTTTAGGGTTTTTAGAGGTATTCATATCTGAAACCTCCATGGCAGCGGCTGTAACTCGATGGTGGCGCTAAAAATCGTCGTTCGTTGCCATTCTGAGCTAGGGTTTCGAAAATTCTAATCCAAATGAGATAGGTGGCGATGCTAAATGATCTGCTGAAAACCTAAATCACTGGCGGCTCGCCGAATAAGGAGAAGACGAAGGTAATGGAGAGAAGGCGTCGATTTGAGAGAGAGGAGAGAAGGGTGGTGGTTCGAGAAGGTGAAGCTGGGTAGGCTGGGTTATTGGTGCATCTAAATTCATAGTCATCGGTTTGTGGGGGAAGGAAGGAGAAGTTGGGTGAGCGTGTGAGTACGAGAGAAGTCGGTTCCGGAAAAAACGAGGGTGGAGTTCATATTTTTCCGGCAGTAGAGAGAAAAGGAGTTGGGGGAGGGAGTATCGGTGGGGTAGGGTTATATTTGTTTTCTTTTTTCTTTAATTGTTAATCGGAAAAAATCAAAATTAATAAAAAAAAGGGAAAATCAAATAGAGAGGGCAAAAAGGTCATTTCATATACTTCCAGTTATGAAATGGACCAAACTTGCAACAAAATAAAAACTTTGGACCTCTGGTGCTAGTCCAAACCTTTTTGGACTAAAGTGTCAATTTTCGACATACCACAGTGTCACACCTCCAAACCGGAGCGGCGGAAACGTCCGGGGGTGGATGACTTCATGTTAAGTATCACAACACATGCATCATAGTAATCAAAGTACAACAACCATTGCATTAATAATGTATAAGTTTTACATAGTGTTCAAGTCATTGTATATATGACATCAAAAGTTATATATATAGCAAAAGATAGAAGACATGACTCTATACTGCTCCATCTTCTCAAAATCCTGGGAATGTACCTGTCTACTGGTTCCCTGAGAATACAAGTATTTTGAAAAAGAGAGTATCAACATTTAAGTTGGTGAGTTCATAAGTATTTATGTTTAGAAGCTTGTTATTCGTTTCTTGAAATAGTAATCATGTTTATTGTTCCAGAAAATCCAATATTTTCTAATATAACTGAAAAGTAGTTTTAATACCATAAAACTGTTCTGTGTAATTGTTGTTGTACTACAAAATAGTATAACATAGTTTTAGTTCACAATAAAACTATACAAAAAATATTTTATGTATTATTTATGTTTCTCTTTATTGTAACTAGTATGATGTAATTGTATTATTTGAAAACCCTGTAATCGTGAGTATGCCTGGTTCCACCAGCTGTAATTGTAAGCCGTAGTATTATACTGTAAATTGTATTGTTGTAAAACCAGTACGTTGTATTTGTACTCTTTGGTTTAATTATTCATACATTAATCGTATTGTTCATATCTTTTTGTGAGTTATTATAACCATACTAAGACCAGTAAGCCTGATACAACGCTTTACGAGCGTTAGAACTGTAACGACAGTTGTCACTCATAGGCATACCAGCCTAACCGTAGCGAACAGTCTGAGTGCGGGATTGTCAATCCCGTATAGATCTATACACATTTGTCTCGCTCTCTGTCGGGAGATTCTGGTTATAATTATCAGGTCTTTAATAGTATTGCTTAAATAATTAAGCGAGTGAAGTTTGTCTCACAAAAACCATATTGACGATTACGTGTATAATAATGATGAAAAAGTCATTCTGAAATAAATGAAATGATAGTATGCTCCTTCTTTAGTATACTTGAATGTAAAGCATTTGTACAAGAGTATATAGTTAAACTATGTATACTTGACTAATGAAAATAGTTTGAGAGTTCCATAAATTATACTTATTATAATTTATATATTTGTATTCTGTTTGATATGATTTGTTCGTGAAATTACCCCCTTTGCTCGTCATGTTACAAAGGGTAATGAAACTGATTGAAATACTTTTTATATTCATATATATATATATATATATATATATATATATATATATATATATATATATATATAACTTATATAATTAAAATTTAAATGACATTCGGACAAATAATTCTACCTAAGCCCGCATCCAAACAAGGAAAATGAAATAAAGCGAATTATTAGTCCTAAGCCCTTTAAATCTTATATATATATATATATATATATATATATATATATATATATATATATATATATATATATATATATTATTTTGGCAAAATATAAGCTAATAATAGTTTATAAAACATTTAAAGTCGTTTTAGAAATATTTAGAAATCATTTATTTGTAAACACAATATTCTTGTGTTAGACTTGTATTCCCCCCTAAAACAGTGAAAAATAGTAAAAATGTAGTGGTATGAACTCACCTTTTTGTGAGTTTTCGGTTGAAGATACGGTGTAGTAGAGCTAAATCCACAAGTTAGAACTCGTGACAAAACCGAATCCTAATTTATATTAACATCATATTAAGTATAAATTAGATAATCTAGTAATGTTTAAAGTGTTAAACAACACTTAATTATTGTAAAAAGACTTACAATAATCCTTAGAATATGGTGTGGGTGTTTTTCGTGTTCTTCGCGTTCTTCGTGAAAACTAGTGAATTTTAGTGTTTTCGGCCCAATATAAGGAGATTGGAAGATGTTTATGGATGATATCAAGAACAAAAGATGATACTTTGCAATATTCTAAGAAGATACAAAGGATTTTTGCATGGAATTCATGAGAAGTAAGTGATTTCGCATGTTCTTGAGAGGAGAGATGAGTTTTCGGTTGAAGTTGAGAGAAAAGATGAAGTTTTCGGTAGAAATGTGGAAGGATGATGTGACAACCCGAAATTTCTATCTTGAGAAGTCTGACTTGTATCTGTTACCTTTTAGCCGTGCTAAGGGTTATTCTGTGAGTTTTTAAGCCTCATACACTTAGGACTTGATGCTATGATGTGTGAGTAACGAATCGATGACTTTCAAATTGAGCCAAGAACATTCATCAAGGGTGTTCACGGCCCAAAACTAGGGTTTACGGCCGTAAACCCATGTTGGTCGTGAACCCCTCATCATAAGTATAGATTTCCTTCACTTTTCTTCATTTCTCACTTCTTTCATCCAAGAACACTCAAACTCTCTCAAGTATCATCAAGGGAATCCATCCTCTCTCTTCAAAACCGTAAATAATTCATCCTTTTTACTAG